ATGTATAACAAAATTATACATTTTAAATTTTAAATTATAAATTCTATGGGCTCTTCAAGGTTTGTTGCCATATACTGTTCAGAAGGCATTATATCAGTTTGTTAGCAGTATATAAGCACCAATCAACACTACATCAGAAGAATTATGTTCTTTATCTTGGAATGATCCCAGATTATAGAACACAAGAAAGTGTTATCAAAATAATATAAATAATAATACAATTACATTGATCATTTGCCATTTTCTTTATATTAAATTCTGAAAGTGACAAAAAAATTCTCTTCCATTTAGAAACATCTTGATCACAAGATTCCTGCAAAAGTGATTGTCAAGCCATCTACTGATCTGATATATTTGTGATTTGCAAGAGTGGGACTACAAATTCCAATTTGCAATTGAAATAATTTAAAGTAAAATCTGACTACATTTCATAATTTTATCACAGAATATCACTAATAAACAGCATTTGATACTCAAATGGAATCGATACACAGTTTTACTGTGATAAGAAAAACAAGTCAGGAGAGAAGCAAACAAACCAAAAAAGATTAAGAGTCCAAGGAGAGTGAGATGGTGTAATGCAATCATAGCCAGATTTTTTGTGTGTCAGTTTTGCTTTGTCTTTGCTTGTCTCAAAATCTACTAATCAGAGTCAATAGTAACATGGCACAGGTAGGTGAACAGAGACAAAGACAGCTCCAAAATAATTTCATTGGTTACAAAATGCCTGTATTAATACACACAGAATATACTACAGTTTAGCAATTACCAAAATAAACAGATTCATACAGTGTTTATTAAGGCAAATTAAAATCCATGCACTTGAGATAGTTGCAACCCAGTCTGAGGTATGCTCTCAACCATCATTCTCAGAACAGTACTTGCTGCTAAGTAATAGTAATTGCTATTAATATATCAGTTTCTATATTACTCACCATGATAAATGACATTTAGAATTGTGTACATGAAATTTAAATAAATACTTTAAAAACAAGATGAGATAAAAGTCATTCATGCAGAATACCATTTAAAGAAAGGTGTAGATGAAGAATAAATTTTAAAATATCTCTAGTTTCTCAGCTACTGGTGATTTTATGGATATGTCCATTAAGTTTTCTTGAGACTAAGTTATTTAGGAGGAATCTAAAACCTACCAAGGTTGGCATCCCTGGGATGCCAGCAGGGAGAACATTTCATACAGTAGCTCTACAACAGAAAAGGTCCTCCGAGTTACCAAGAAATGGCAATCTACAAACTGCAGCACAAACAGCAGTGCCTCTACTAATGATCTTAATGATTACCCAGGTCTATATTGGAGGAAATGATCTGCCAAATAATATTGTTGGCACTTGGAAAAAACAGCTGCACAAGCTTGGGAAAAAGATGTGGCTGTTTTAATGACAAGAGAGGTACTTCATATACACTCTTGTGAGGTAGAAAGCACCTCCTTCAAAGGATATATACACAGATCCAATAAATATGTACACTCAATCTATTAAGTAAGGGGTATGCAACTTCCAGTGGCTCAAGGGTGAAACCCAAAATAGGGAAAAGACAAGACCCATTCTGGGAGGACGGAATCAGAAATTTTAAGGAATAAGATGCTTACAACTTAAAGGCTTAAGAAGCATTTTTCCAAGAACATTTAGAAGACTTAAGGAACCTATTTAACCCCTTAAACCTTCCCCAAATACAAAAGAAAGCTCCTAAATATTTGCTTTCATTCTGCAGACTCCTCTGTATTCCACCAAGGAATATTGGTGGGTTACATGAGTCCCAGAAGCTGTACTTTTTGCAACCCACGCTACTCTTGCCCACCAAATTTAAGAATTAATTTTTCAAAAAGACTGCACTCTTATCCAGGTCTCTGCCCTCTCAAGTTCAACTCTCATGAGAGCAAAGGCTAAAATATTACTTTCCTACTGGACATTCTTGTGGTTCCTTTATGAAGCAGGGGAAAATGTGCACAGCTACCTCCTTCAAAATAAATCATCACCACCCAAAAAAAAAAAAAAAAAAAATCAAGTGGCTGCTTTATATTCTGTGTTCCCTCTGCCCCCCAAAAGGAGAGGAGAACAGAACATACACTGTGTTAGAATCCAAGAAAATGGCTACTACTAGTAATTCCTGCTCTATCTTTACATCAGATCAGTAGCAGCAGCACAATTATTAATACTGTCCCTCAACGATTTTGAGCACATGTCTCTATTATCCATGTGCAGGTAATTGCCATCCACCAAGGCAGTGAAGCAGATGTGCATGTTTCTATGGAGAGACAACAGACAGCCAGAAAAGAGAAGGGGAAAGGCAAAGAACCAAGTGGGTATAGTCAATATGCATGATCTATTGTACTGTAAAATGGCTTTGAGGGAAGATGGAGCAATTAGGTCAAAGAAAACAAACCTGTAGGGAAAACTAACAGTAAAATCAATATTGATTAGCTGTCACTAATCAGCTCAAGGTAATATACAGAATGGAAACTATCAGGCAAATGCTTTTATTCATCTTGGACAAGCATCTTCAAACTGAAGTGTCTTTTAAATATACTTTTTTTTGTAATAACTAGAAACTTTTTTTAATGTTAGGATTGTTGGATAAGGCCATAAATACTTGTTAACCCACACAGAACTTTAATTTTTAGTTTATACGGAAATTAACAGGCAACTTGAAAACAGTGAGAGAAGATAAGAATATGCATTTTACCTTCATCAGATCTGAAAATCATCTGATTAGATTCTTCTGTGCTGGCTTCTGTGGAAATATGCTCAAAATTTCGTTTAAACTGTTGTAAAAAAACTTCCATTGATAGAGTAAAATGTAGCTCTTTATTATTTAGCCAGTGTACTACAAAAGGACCACTTTTTTCTTCATTTTCATTAAGACTCAGAGACATGATAGAAGGGAGCAAGGGAATGTCTACAAACAAAAATATATATTCAGTTCAAAAACATACATTTAAATTATTTTTATATTTTAGACAGACCACTTTAGTTATATTAGAAAGGGACATATACAGAGGTTACAGGACAGATAATTTTAACTTCTTTTCCAGCAGCAGATACAAAATAAGTAATCAATAATGTAATTTTACCAGCACCTTCTATCTTTTAGCAGAAGAAAGCTGCCTAGAATATGTGGTAAACTGTCCAGAAATGAGTAGCATACATAGCTGCATAAAACAAATAATTTTTTTTAAATAAATTCATTAGGACTAACAATGCTACGGATATTTGTTGGTGCAAAGTTCTAGTGGGCTTTTAACTGTAGAGTAGGAAGGGGCTAATTATGCCAATCAATCTAACCTAAAGAAAATATATAATTTCATTTAGTATTTAGCAAAATATAAAATAAAATAAATTTATTTATTTATTTACATCTACACATTTTGGGTGAGGTTACTGATTTTTACTAGATCAACTTGCTTTAATCATTCTAATTAATCTCAGACCAATCTAGACCATAATACCTTTGCTCATCAAAACTTAACATCTACCCCCTCCCC